CCCCCTTCTTCCCCCGGCTGACCTTGATACTGTCCAGATATGGCACGACCATCGTCTGACCTGGGAACCCACGGACCACAAAAACATGTCCAACATCGTCCTTGACCCCACCCTCATCTGGCTTCCGAGACTGGTGGTTGAGAATCCGTGAGTACTGAGGAAATACTGTAAAACCTCGGTAAATACTGTAAAACATCGGTAAATACTGTAAAACATCGGTAAATACTGTAAAACCACGGATAATAGCCTACTTTAAAACCTCGGTAAATTTTAAACCTTGGTAAACACTGTAAAACATCGGAAAATAGCCTGCTGTAAAACCTCGGAAAATAGCCGACTGTAAAACCTCGGGAAATAACCGACTGTAAAACCTCGGGAAATAACCTACTGTAAACATCGGAAAATAGCCGACTGTAAAACCTTGGTAAACAGCCTACTTTAAAACCTAGGCAAATGGCCTTCTGCAAAATTCGGCAAATACTGTAAAAAAAAAACCTCGGCAAAAACTGTAAAATTATATTAATATATTATATATATTATGATCTCCTCAGCATAGAGAAAATTTCGGTGATCGGCGAGGAGATCCACCCTCCCATCCGAGTGTCGAGCAGTGGATACATCACATGGACTGTCCCCACTGTGCTCAATGTCTATTGCGAGACGCGGATCCTCAACTTCCCCTTCGACTCCCAGACGTGCGTCATCAAGATGTATGCCTGGGGCTACACCAATGAGGTGAGGGCACGTTGTTAAGTGTCACGCACTAACAGAACTTTCAGCATCTTGTTCTAGTTAGCTCTATGCCTGTTTTTTTTTTTTTAAGTCAGTTTTTTTTCCTTTTCTTTCCGCTGTAGTAAGACTTTGAGACTCCAAGAAAAGATAACTGTGAAGGCCTTGTGGGTAGAAGTAGAGGTGATGGATAAAAAGAGGAAAGACGATCTAATTTAACAAAAGATTGTCAATGTCTATCAAATACATTGATTTTTTTATGTCGAAGTGAGCTATAATAACATAATGTATACATGCTATGGAGGCAAGGACTGACTTTTGGAAGTATGTTACACCTGTAATATATGTTTATGATATGTTATATGTTTATGATGATTATGTGTATATACATATGTATATTATATGTGTATAAGATGTATGTATGTTATGATATATGTTTATGATATATGTATATGATATGATGTATATTATGATATATGTATAATGTATTGTTATGTCTACAGCATTATAAGCGTGTTTTCCTTTCATTGAAAATAATAGTTTTAAAAAAATAGGGATAAAAACAAAAACAATAATATTAACCTTCATAGCAACAACAACACGACAACAATAACATCAATAACAATAACAACTATAACAACAACAGCAATAACAATAGCAATAGCAATAACAACAACAACAAATAACAATAAACAGTAACAATAACAATAACAGTACGTGGTGAGCTCAGTTGACGGAATATGGTTGCTCTTAACCCTATCCGTTCGTCGTGTTTTGCTATCATAATCCATACGACGTGGGGAACTCTGTGCCACCACTTTCCAAAAAGGACATTTACTCGTTAATTTGATCCGTATGCTTTGCATAGCAGTCTGTCAAAATGATTTTTTGAGAAGTACTGACAGTTTCAAAGAGATTTTCGTACTAGAAGTATTCTAAAATGTGAATAATACAACCGCGGGGGTACAAAATGACCCCAGGGCGTACGGATAGAGTTAAGGACCAGCAGGTTAACCCAGATTTCGGGAGTTTCCAGAAATCTTGATCTACACCAAAAGCGGGCATTGCCCTACCTGTAGAAGAAGTTTGGTTTCATTGGTGTGTATATTTGTTCGGTTGTAGAAAAAAAACTGTCCTTGTCTTTTAAAGAATCTGAAAAAAGGGCAAAAACTTTACCTTCAATTTTTCTCAAAACAGCATTTTTCGGGATAGCCCCCTTGTGCTTAAAAGCGACCGTATCTAGTCCCCCCCCCTCTCTGACCACAGGAGATCTTCGTGTTACCGCGACAGGAGTACACCAGCGAGGACCGCGCTAGCATCGAGCGGGTGTACACCCCGCACGGGGAGTGGGACTATCTGGACAACTGGATCAAGGCCGAGAACGTGCCCTCGGGCTCTGTCGTCATACAGAGGGTCAAGGCCAGGTGAGGGCAAGAGGATCAGAATCACCATTATCATAATACCGGGGGATCAACCCCCCCCCCCCCCCCACAAAACTGTACATATTTTTTTGTTAATATTTTCCTCCACCCTGGAGTTTTGCGTTTCAAATTGGTACACAACATTTGGAGGTCGAAAGAAATGTGTCTGATATTCATTTAAAATTAGTCCACAGAATAGTTTTGCTCTGCATAGCACGTAAAAAAACCCAAACTAATCCATTTTCAGCTATGCCCCCATTTTTGTAATATGATGCTCTAGTTCGCATTATGCCTTCCACTAAAAATCCCAACGATTGCGCCATATTGCGAACTGCAGTAGTCTAACAGGCCAACAGAAGTTTGCAGATAGTTTCTCTGAAGTTTACTTTGCCTGCTGATATCATGATTACGATTAGTAAAGAACGGAGAGCTTTTTGTTTTGAACATTTCCTCACCACCAACTCGTTTCGTAAGTTCCCCACAAGGTACGGTAACAATGTTATAGTGCCCTTAGGGCATTCTTTGATGTCAAGGGTGGAAATGTTCCATCAGTTAGGACCTTTAGAACAAAAAGTTCCCCGACAAAACGACCACTTCAAGTCAAACACACACCACTCGCACCCCTTTAAACGTACAAGGGTGCAGAATTCAGTAGATGAGCCGTCTGTCCGTAGACGATGTCTGCAGCAATGACTTTCCTACATCTCAACGGTCCGCATTCTCAAGGCAGATTTTCATCTACGACTGTACTATTTTCACGTTCGCGAAACTGACATGGATTAGAGGCTGGCAATGTGTTCATGATTCCTAAATCGTCTTGAAAAGCGTGAACATTTCCTCTGTGACATTTTGTTCCTTGGCAAAGCCCATATTCACCTTTCAGGTTATATTAACTGCACAAATGCTGTCTATTTGGGCAACCTGACCCCCCCTCCCCACTCTCCCTTACCTTGTCTATAGTAACAGCTCCATACTGTAAGGTGTACTATGTGTGTGGCTTTCTTTAAGTACTCATGGTTGAGTGGATCCTTGTGTTTGGCACCACTGAACATTACGAACGACGCGTTAAAATGTGTGGAGTCCAAAGGAGGACATAATATAGACCTTTGGTTCTCGGAATTCCAGAATTTAAACAATATTTTTAAAAACTCAGTACGAGGAAAGAAATACTGTTTTAAGGTTACAGGGATGGAAAGATTAGATTTTAAAAATAAAAGGAAAAGACCCCCCCCCCCCCCCCCAATCATTTCATGTCTTAGTGAACTCTATTTTTCTCCTTTCGTTTTTTCTTCTGTCACTCACCCAGCCTCAAGTTCCGGCGGAAGTGGGTGTTCCTGTCCTTGACCCTGATCGTGCCAGCTGTGTTGTGCTCTCTGCTGATGAGCGCTGTGTTCGTTCTGCCCTTTGAGTGCGGGGAAAAGATGAGCTACTCTCTCACCGTGCTGCTCACCTTCATCGTTCTCCTCACACTGGTCGCTGACAGTCTGCCACCCATCTCTACCGAGATCTCTTTGCTACGTGAGTTGGATTTTGTTTGTTTACTGTGGGAGGAGGGAGGGGAGGAGGGAGGGGAGGAGGGAAGGGGAGGAGGGAAGGGGAGAAGGAGGGAGGAGATGTGGGGGAGGCCGGGTGGGGGAGAAGGGGAGTGATGATGGTGAGGAGGAGCAGAGGTGGATGAGAAGGAGGAGGAGGAGACACACATGTCTCCGATCAGCATCAGACTAGCAAGAATGTTGCAACACATTTCGAACCATCATACACAAATCTGAATGAGGGAGTTTGTATATACATGTATTATTTCACAACTTGTGTTTTCTTACTTTGTGTTTTGAAGAGATATATTTGACTGTCTTTGCGTTTTAAAAAATATATTTGACTGTCTTTGCGTATTTCAGAGATATATTTGACTGTCTTTGCGTATTTCAGAGATATATTTGACTGTTTCTGCGTATTTCAGAGAACTATCTGGCCGTATTTGTGTTTCTCAGAGATCTATCTGACAGCATCTGTATATTACAGAGATCTATCTGACAGTATCTGTTTATTTCAGAGATCTATCTGACAGTATCTGTATATTTCAGAGACCTATCTGACAGTATCTGTATATTTCAGAGACCTATCTGACAGTATCTGTATATTTCAGAGATCTATCTGACAGTATCTGTATATTTCAGAGATCTATCTGACCGGTGTGATGTGCACGGGCACGTTGGCCACCCTCCTCACTGCCTGGACAGTCACGATGTACAGCCGACCTGAGGGCGACCCCGTGCCGCGCTGGATCGTCTACGTGTGTGACCACGGGTTCAAACCCTTCACCTGCAAGACCACAGCCTCCCCCTCCTCCTCCTCCTCCTCCTCGCCTCGCAACAACAAATCTACAACAACAAGCAACTCCCGAAGCACGAGTCATACAGACGTCCACTCTATTTCTCACAACTTAAACAACACACAGGACATCTCTGCTGTCACTAATGGAAGAACTTCCCAGGCTGCTTCAAACTCCGGATCTAGCAGGTCTGGAGTGAGCTCCACTTTCCTGAACAGACCCTTACCCAGGTTTGAACCCAGAGTCTCTGACGGGTCTGTGACGTTCAGCGCATGCGCCTCGTCTCGCCAGTATTACACTGACCGCTCCGAGTACTCCGATTCAGGGAGTATGTACTTGCCGGACGACGCTGCTCATTTCCCGGAGTCTGGTGGTCAGTTTGGGGGGAGACCAGGGCCAGATGACCAGCAGACGACCCGCACGTGGAAGGAGGTGGCCCAGCTAGTGGACGCCGTCTGCCTCAGGGTCATCAGTCTGTCCATTTTGGCGGGAACCGGCTCCCTGGTCGTCTTCTACAGCCTTTCTTACTGACCGGAAGGATCCGGGTTTAATTAACGCCCTCTTTTAACACGGTTTCGTTATAATGCAAGAGGCTGGACCTCCGAATTTATCGTCTCTTTCCGTAGGACGGAGCCAAATGGGATGCGAGCCTTCGAACCAGAGCCTTCTTAGATACTATAGTATTATTTAGGAGCCAACCCAGGGATACAACATCCAAGGAGAAAGAAAGACCGAGATACTCGACAAAAGTTATCCCTTTTCTTTTACTAAAAACAATTCTGCAAAAGAGAGCCCAAAAAGTAAAAGAAAATCTTGTGCAGAATTTTGCACTGAAATCAACTCATCAAAAGAAGGCATTTAAAAGGAAAGCGGATGACATGACACTTCGTTTGTTCATCTATTCTAATAGGCTACATTTGCCAATTTTATATATTATTTATATTCCCTACGTTTGTGAGTTTGGCCGAGCCTGCTCTGAAGCCACCTGTCCGAGAAAGTCACTTGTACAAACGACCACTTGCCACGTCCCCACTTGTGTTTTTTGTTTCTAATTTCTATTGAGATGACACAGATGTCCACCTGCCCAAGAAACCAGTTTTCTCCTCGATTATTGGGGGTGGGCGTCTAAATCAATTTAGAGTGTGTCAATATGTTTCATACTTTTGTGAATAAAAAGGTTCCCTTATCTTTTGTACCATTTCGTATTGTACTTAAAAATGTACCATTTCCGAAGAACAAGCCAGGGACAGAATAAATCATAAGAAAAAAAAGAAAAAAAGAAACGCTTTTCCCACGTTCATTAAAAAAAAAAAAATTTTCTTCCTTCCTTAAAGAGTGTTTGCACCCCCTCATGGACACAAATTCTATCATTCAGGAGGCAGGCTTCGACTCTGATCGACTGTCAGGGCTAACCTGGGCTGAGAGGGACCCAACATCCCAATAGAAATAACTTTATTTTTCCAATATGGATGTGTTTTTACGCCCCCATCGACACAGTTTAGATCATTTCGGAGGCGAGCCACCAACCCTGCCTGTCAGTGTCAGAATCAGCCCGAAACTGAGAGGGTAACAACTTCCCAGCAGAAAGACCGAGAGGTACTCGATCAAATGTCTCACCACACAGGAATCGAACTCGCACCTAACCGCTATACAACAGACGCCGGTCCCAAATACTTGTATATTAATTATCTATGGTAAAATGATAATGTCGTTGATTTACAGAAGAGAACAGTAATAGATAGTGTTTCGACATTTCATTGTTTTTGTTTTTGTTTGTTTTACAAATAGTTTTAGTAAATTTTACGGCACTTGAAACACAATAAGGTCAAATAAATGCCGAAGATTAGAGTTGATACAAGAGAGTAATAAACATAAACAGAAGGAGGAGAGATCAGGAAAATAGATATTTAATAAGAAAGAAGGAGCAAACCACATCAGAGCACCCGCCAACCACCCACAATATCGTTCGTGCTGTGTCTGGTGTACGTATACGTCTTAAGACCACAAGCTCTTAATCCAAACAAAAAAAAAAAAAAAAAAAAAAAAAGAAATTGGATATATTTTTTGAAGCTGAAAAGACCGCCTCACAAAGATTGAATAAAGACAAGAATACAGTGCAGCCATACTTTTAGAAATTTAATACAATCCTTCTCAAAGTAATAATAATAATAATAATAATAATAATAATAATAATAATAATAATAATAATAATAATAATTATTATTATTATTATTATTATAATTGCATTTATATAGCGCATATCCATGCCCAAGAGCATGCTCTGTGCGCTTTACAACTATTATTACCCCAGCAGACCCTCTACTAAGAACACTCAGAAACATTCTCGGCTTCCATGGAAGCATACAAGAGAATGCAGAAGCGAAAAACAGAGGGAATTACGTAGAATGTGGTGTTTGGCTCTCGTCTTTCATACGAAATCCTTGTTACGAGGATAATAATAATAATAATAATAATAATAATAATAATAATAATAATAATAATAATAGTGATGATAATAATTATAATAATAATAATAATGATAATATAATAATAATAGTAATAATAATAATAATAATAATAATGAATAATAATAATAATAATAATAATAATAATAATAATAATAGTAATAATAATAACAACAATAATAGTAATAATAATAATAATAATAATAATAATAATAATAATAATAATAATAATAATAATATAATAGCCTAACATGTAATAATAATAATAACAATAATAATATTGATAAGAAGTCGTATTTTTTAAAGCGCATATTATGCTAATACATGTAGGCCTACATGTAATAGTATTCAAACAAAATAGCATCTGTTTAGCGCATATTGTGCGTCTTGTGAGGCACACTGGTCTTACTGCTAGAAAAAAGAGACAAATTCGATTACCGGTAAATTAAAACCTATGTAATCCTGCTCTCCCCCCCCCCTCCCCCGCAGTGTTACAGACTGGATTGTCTCTTGGGAAGAGTGACGGAACAACATAGGGGGAACTGCTGCTTTTTCTTTCCTCGTCATTGCTATCGTCATTTTTTCCTCTACTTCTTTTGTATGTTTGTCATTCTCTTGCGACCCGATATTTCCGGGGTGCCTTAATAGTCGAAGCAGACTCTGTGCTGTTGAGGCTAGAGAGGTGAGCAGAGTAAGTCTGATTCCCTGTAAGGACTTCTCTGTTGACACCCACCCCTTGACGCTCATATGACCTTATGCAGTTGCGAAGGCCGTAAAACCTCTACTAAAACAGACTGTCTGAGCCTCAAGGCTGCCCCACATTCCATTATAAGTGAAGTGTGATCAGAGAGTATTTTATCATATGTTATGGTCTCTGGTATGATCAGTATGATGTTTGATCAGAGAGTATTTAATTATAGTGTCTCTGGTATGATGCAGGCTTGACCAAGGGAAGTAATCCTTTAAAATTGTGTCATCAAGATAGTGTGTTGGGAATTACGTACCTTGTTTAACTACAGCAGACGTCTGCCGCGAAAGAAACCTCTCTTGATCGAACGAAAGATTAATTGTGCTGTCCTTTGACTTAGAGGCAAGAATGAACCTTGATGTTGAAAAATATGCTGGTAATTTGAAATTCCATAGAAAGGATAGATTTCATATTTGCATGCCTTTATTCTCCGTGTGATAGTCGCACGTAGTTTTGTCAGCTGAACGAAAGTGCATTGAAGTTATAATAGATCTAGATATCTAGATTAGTTTGCGTATGTGACTCATTTGGTGGGATTTGTTTCTGTCTGCTCTGACTAATCTAGATTCTAGATCTAATCTAGATTCTAGATGTAGATCTAGATCTAGATATATATCTAGATCTAGATCTCTCTATATTCTAGATCTAGAATATAGATCTAGATTTTCTAGATCTACTGTTATCAGTGCCTGAAGGCGTGCATATTGATGATTATTAATTGGGAGGACTTCCGTAACGAGCCACCAATATTAAATCTAAATCTAGAATCTAAATCTAGATTATTATACTCAATGGCTTCCTAAATCATAATGGAAGGCCGAAAGCCACTGTTATGTTATACATCTACTAGACTAGATCTATCTGGTCAAGACAAAAGTACGGTAGTTTTCGCATTTTTAGGCCCAGTTCAAAGCTTTGAAGGTCTGAGTCGGGTTTAAAAATTGTTTAGCTAGATTCTAGATCTAGATTCTAGATCTAGATATTTTATATCTATATTCTAGATCTAGATTCTAGATCTCTAGATCTAGATCTAAATCTAGATCTATATCTAGATCAAGATTCTAGATTTCTCTAGGTGGCATCTTTCAAAATCAGAGTGTTATCTCCATCGAAGATTTTTTGGTTGTTGTTGTTTTTGTTGTTGTTGTTGTTGTTGTTTTTGTTGACGTTGCCATAATTTCTAGAGATCTAGATAATTAACATTTTCATTTATTTTAGCTGGATTAAAATAGTTACCTTGTAGGGTTTAAGCATTCCACCATAATAATAATGTTATCACAACACAATGCATAATGAATAGATTCAAGATCTAGATCTACATGCACATCATATTTGAATTTAGAATAAAAGAGCACGATGAATAAGAAGGTCTAGATCTAGATCTAGATCTAGATCTAGATTAGATCTAGATATCTAGATCAAAATGTCAGAATGGCATTTCACAATGGTATGTTCTAAAATGGCTTAAATTTTGCCTCGACTTTGTATCGCTCAAATTAATAATCCGGGATCTCGAGGTGGGGCAAGATTCCTTAACAAAATATAATATGCTATGTAGATTTATTTCTTTGCGAAATTTGAAAGTGGCAAGTCGCCAAATGCATACTTTAGCA